CATACATACATACATACATACATACATACATACATACATACATACATACATACATACATACATACATACATACATACATACATACATACATACATACATACATTACATACATACATACATACATACATACATACATACATACATACATACATACATACATACATACATACATACATACATACATACATTACATACATACATACATACATACATACATACATACATACATACATACATACATACATACATACATACATACATACATACATACATACATACATACATACATACATACATACATACATACATACATACATTACATACATACATTACATTACATTACATTACATTACATTACATTACATTACATTACATTACATTACATTACATTACATTACATACATACATACATACATACATATATATATATATATATACATACACGTACATGCTACCCCGCAAGGAGTACTTCGGATTTGGTCTAGGCTACACCTGATTCAAAATGTCTGCCAGATGTTATAGGTTCGTGTTTGAAGGCAAGAACTGCAAAGAATTGCACCGCAGCCGACGACTGGAAAAATAACCTGACAGGAAACTGTACACAATTCCTGCAACTGCGTTTGTGTGGCCCAAATGCACTTCTTCAGGAAAAGAAGGTTAAGAGACCATTGCAAACTGGCAATGGCAAGCATGCCGAGGACTCAGCTCAATGACCTGGTACAAATGTCCAAGTGCCACGGGTAGAGCAGAAGTTCAATGGAATGATGAGTGGATCTGAGCACATCACAGTCCTCAACATGATACTATACACCAAAGTCAAGGTCGAGGCACATTAACTGATGTTTGCAACATTGCCAGTGCATGACAAATAGCCAACATTTCTGCAGAATGTTCCTGGTGAATTTTGATAGGGGCTTAAATGCAATATGTACGAAATGTCTGAGACATCTTTGATATCATTGCAGCGGCCTACTCTCAGCCTCAACAAAGAACACCACCCCAACACCCCAGCAGCATGGGAAAGTGCAGTGCTTATCCTTGTGTGCAAGTTGATTCGGGTCCAATGTTTGAAAGAAATCAAACACTCTAAAGCGCTTTGAAGCTGAAAATTGTGCTCTTCGAGCGCTTTGAAGCATGTCTGAATTCAAGATTCAAGATTATCAGGACTCCAAATTGAAAAATATTGAATCGACCGCCTGCTCCAGGTCAAAGCGAGAAGTGCAGATGGGAGCCTGTGTTACATGCGTGTCTTTTTTTGTTTGGGGGGGGATCTCCAAACATGGCCCAAACGGCTTTCCTTTTTGGCCTTCCCTTTAAAAAACCACCAAAAGGGGCTCCCTAAAAAAATCACACCCACCTGTTCGTCTCTCGATTTTCAGGGACACCCCTTTTCTGGCGGCTTTAAAGGGAGCCCGGCCCCCACCATTTTGGGGCAGGAACCCCAAGACAAAACGACAACCCTTCCATACCTGGGGTCTGTTTTTGGGGGGCGGATCCCAAACGGCTCTGCTTTTGGCCTTCCCTTTAAGAAAAACCCACACCGGGGCTCCTCTCCCCAGCTTTCGGGCAGATCTCCGGGACCCCCGGCCACGGGCTCCGATTCGCACTGCACGCCCGCGGCTTGGCAGGGCTGGGTCTCGTGGACCTCTTCCGACGAAACTCGCGGCGAAGCTTCGCGCGGCCGAAGACCCGGTCTCAGATGGTGTCCAGTACCCCCAAGCCACTACGCCTAGGATCAATCCGGGGACTATCCCTTGCATATGCCCAGTGAAATTGAGAGAGAGAGAGAGAGTCCCTTTAGAACTAAGGGGAAAGAAACAATCTTCTTCAGCAAATGGAAGTCTTGGGGGTAGTTAAAATGAAATGCAAGATATTGTGTAACAGGCCTACAAATCAAAGACAAGGAATCGGAGACCCTGGGGCGGTAAAATTCGGTAAAATTCAGCGCACGGAAGAGTACGAGAATACGGGAGACGCAAAATTCGGCAAAATTCAGCGCCCGGAACAATACGGAAAGACTACAGGGAGACGAAGCAGAACACTGAGATACCCCACCATCTGATTTGGAGTTTGCCTTGTCTTCTCAGCGTCTTAATCACCATTCTCTGCTCACCGTCATGTTGGCCCCGACTGATTTCCTCAGCGTAACATGAAAGCTAGAACCTGGGAAGACGTCCCTCTTGGGGTGCCCAGCGATCTTGGTAAAAAAAAGAGGGTTACTGTAAGCATTTGAGTGGGGAACGCACCAAACAAAAAGGGGTGCCGCTGAACAATCGGAAGTTGAAATTTAGAGAACGCCCAGGTTCGTTTCGTTGCCTAGAGCCTCATACTTTGGCTGGGCTTGGAAGTGGATATCCAGGCCGTGGTTTCGCAAATGACCGCTCGACTACGGCGCCGAAATTCCCGGCAGGCTACACCATTGGGTTCCTGGAAAACGGAAACCAGTGGAGGCGCCCATATTTGACTCGGTCCTCCAGTAGAGAGGTTAGAACAAGGGTACCCTTTTTTCTGTAGTCTATTTTAGTAGGGGAACCCTCCCAAAAAAAAAAGCAAAAGGGCACTACTGGGGGACCTAGTTGGTATAACAAGGAAAATTAGGGGAAACCAAGCCAGGGAGCCAAGGGAAACCAAACGAACCCTCCGGTTTGGTCAGCTTTCGGCCAAAGGAGCAACCCTCCAATGAAGGGCACCTGGCAACGAGCCATCCTCCACATCTTCAAGGACTTGTGGGTCTCCATATGCTTCAGGCGCCAAAGAAGAAATGACATGGTTGTTTCATTGACCATCTCACTCCAAAACCAGAAGAAAGATATACATTGAGCCACATGGACATGCGGTTTCTAAGCATACTCCCTGGGCTTGAGAACTCGAGAACTATCGACCGTGTGTCACTTTGCGAGTTCCTGATTTGCGACCGTGTGTAATCCTCGAAGACAAAAGGCTGAGATTCCAAGGCCGCAGGTAAGAGCATGTGCAGCATGTTCATACTTCGGCACTGTTGAGCCCTGAATTGTACCCCTCCACCAGGAGCCTCCCAGTTCTTCTTCAGGGGGGTCTCCTGAGAAAGGATCCCTGACGAATCACGTCGGCACTACCCTGGCTAACTCTTCGGGTTGAAAGGAAAAACCTAGAGACGCCAAGCAATCATCTACAGGGGACTAGTAGCCCGCTCCAAAGCGACGCAGGGAAGCCGACCAATTTTTGCATTACCCTGTTTGACTCTTTGGGTGGTTCAAGGGAAAAACCGAGGGAAGCCAACCGTTCACCAACTTGTGAGGTCCAACGCCCTTCGACACCTCCGCATCCCCAGCTGGTGGCTCCGAGCTCCCGCACCGAGCCCTGGCAGAAGGCCCCGTCGCCGCTGCCGTAGTGCCTGAAGCCGGATGGAACACGGGCACCGCTAGGGTTTGGTTTGAGGTAGGCTGGGTTTAGTGCTGGCTTCAGCGGCGAGTTTAGCGGTGGGTTTCGTGGTGGGTTTCGTGGTGGGGGGAAAGTGGCATAGGTGTCATGTTTAAGTGAAGTTCGGTTGAACCTTGGGCTTGCGTCTGGCGAAGGCAACTTCGGTCCTCATGACCTTATCACCTTCCCCGAACCATGCCAAACCCAAAAAGGGGAACCCCAAGTGTTCGGTTTCTTTGGGCATCCCTGCAAAACAACCCTGGTTTCGGGGCTGTCCACAGCGAAAAGAGACACCACACAAATCCAGAGCCATGCAGTCCCAAAGCAAAACTACCACCATGCCCAACCACATGGGCGGCTTCCGTTTGGTTCCCTTCAAGCCCACATCCCAGGACGGTCCTTTTGTGGACCTTTGGATCCTCTTCCGGACCCAAGCACGGAGAATCCAGGCTTTTTTCCAGGCAACCTGCAGGAAGGAAGCTCCTTGGCCGTGAAACATCTGGGGGTAATTCTTCAATGAGCGCTGGTATTCCCGCGTTTTAGCCCTCATCCCTTTGTTAGTCTACCCGGTTTCTTCATCCGGAATCACTGGGCCGTGCAGAAGCGACAGCCCAAGAGGCTGAATGGGGGTAGCTGAAGTCCAGAAACTGGGGAAGTGAGTCTACTTCCACCCCCCAGGTCCTGTAAAGTGATTTCGATAGGTCAAGCACGGTACGTCCCAACTTCCAGAACTCTACTACAAAATGGCCTTCGCCTTCTATATTGTCGGTTTGCTTCTTTGCTTTCTTAGAGGCTGACCATTTGGTTTTCGTCTTCACTTTTGTAGGTTGACCGCTTTTGGTGGTCTTAGCTTGCAGCGCCAGTTGTCCCTCGAGGCCCCCCGCTCGATGCCGCGCTCCCGGCTCTGAGTGCCGTCGCACTCCGCGCTGCAGGCGCCTATATAAGCGATTGCGAGCCGTCAGCCCCGGAACTTGGGTCGAAGATGGCAACAGCTTCCCAGTTAAAATTGGGGGGCCCACAAACGGGTTTCTCAAAAAGCAAACGCGTACACGAACACATGCTCGGTTTGTCATCCTCTTTACTTTCAGAAAGAGAGTAGCGCTATGACTTCTCGCCCGGGTGCAACTTCTTCGCCCACCCACAGAATGGATTGGCCAAAAAAGCAAGAACACGCTTTGCCGCTCAAAAAGTTCTCCCAAAAAGTAAGTCCAGGATCTCATGAAGTGAGTGAGGGGTTCTGATCCAAGGTTCTGACAAGCTTTCTGGCGAAGAAGGGATGTCGGTCATGAGTCCCTTTCAGCCAAACATGGCACTCGAAAGATGGGGTTCAAAGGACCACCAAAATGCCCAGGAGTTCCTGTTGGTTTCCCTGTAAACGCCACCAAAAAGGGGCGCCCACACAGAAAAAGGACATACCCAGATTTTGAACCCCCACGCCCAACCCCCCCCCCCCCGCCCAACCCCCCCCAAGCCCCCGCCAAACAGAAACGCCGAAGACCCGAAAGAAGCTCGGCGCCCGCCATGCTGAGGCCCCGGGCCCCAAGCGGACCAATCATTAAACTCGCAGTCCAAGGTGGCGATGCACCTGGCACCACGCCAGTCTTATCAGCTTTATGTGTGGTTTATCAGTATGACACTTAGTGTATCAGTATTGTCATACCAGTCATACTGCAAAATGCTTCTCATAGTACTATGATCAGTATCATTGGTGCTATGGTTCTGGTTAGCGTTGTTGGTATTGATACTGTGTTGTGGTGTTGTTGACATTATGACTATGATAATGATGATCATTATATGATAAGTATCATGATTATCATTGTCAATATTATTATGATCATTATCGCTATCCTTGTTATTGCTATGAGCGTTGTTGGCAATACCATAGTATTATCAGTGTTGATATTAGCACGAGTATTATGATTGTTGTTGGCATTGCTATGCGCATTGTCATGATTGCTATTTTTTATTTATATTGTTCTTGTATTGTTATGATTCTAAGCTCTCATGTTGGAAAGCCTGCAACCGGGTTACTCCCATTCGACGGAATAAATCGGCACGTTGGGTAGGCACTTGGAGCGTTCAGGGACGGATTGGCCAAACAAAAGCCGGACTTGTTGCTTACCGGCTTATCGCAGAAACAGTATTCTCAACAATTAAGTCCAGAAAACTGGGAAAGCCGCTAAAGTGATGAGTCATTCCAGCACAGGACTGAGCAGCTGGTCCATTTGAACAGAAGGGAACTCGTTTACCAACTTTCCGTCCTTGTGGTTCATCTCTTAGAAACCGCTGAGAGCAATCCTGTAGAACAGGTTTTTCTTCTATAAAGTGGCTAGTTTCCAGCCAGGAACCCTACCCTCAGCGCACCTCCCACGTCACATCTGCCAATCACCCAACAGACCCGGCCCAAGGAATCTCTGCCGGGCTGGCGGGACGTTCTCGTTGCAGCTAGCCTGGCGGAAAACACTCCAGCCACCCCTCTGCTAAGTGACAAAGCGGGGTCCTCAGATGTGCCATCAAAACTTCCTGTGGTCATGGCTCCCTTTATCCTTAACATTGCTATCCAATTACCCTAGGAACGTGTGCACGACCGTCCCTACCAACACCAAGCAATAGCGAGCTTTGATCATGGCACATGTCTCTCCTTTCAACATACCCTACCAAAAAAGCTCAAACAAGGTTATCTTCAATCTGGGGAATGTGTTAAATCACCGCAACCCAGGAAAAGCGAAACAAGCAAAACAGCGCGGGCCAACTTGAATCACCCCAGCTGCGGAGGAGCCCAACTACGTTCTAAGACACACCCAACTGTTTGAAGATTGTGTCAGTGGAAACAACAAAACTTTTCTGCGGGGGTCTATCCCCCGCAGAAAGTGAGGAGTCCACTGATCTTATGGACCCAGGCTGCTTGTTGCGCTTGTTGAAGCCTTCACAGGTTTTTCCCCCCGAGCAGACTGAGGCCTTACTACGCCATACCAGGGGCACGCCTTCGGAGGGCGCTGGAGGAAAGCTGTTGTGCTTTTGCGCGTAAGAGCGCAACGGGCCACACAGCGATTGCACGTTGAACGCAAAAGTCGCAACTGCCCCTGGCCAGTGTGAAACCTTTTGTGGCTGCCAAGCACAACCACCTCGGTTTGGATTTGCAATGGCCACCTCCTCCCTGTGGTACGCAGACGCAGGCGGGACACGCAAGTTGGTAGTCCCCATCCGCAACTCACCTTTCCCAAACAAGAACAAACCACCAATATACTGAGGGTCACCTGGGTCACCAACTTTCGCTTTTATTTTAAACGGGAACAACCTGTATGAATCAGCAATGGGTTGAGTACTCACTCATCTTGCCTTCTCATGAATGGACACCCTCTCAGCAATGGGCTTGTCTTCAATAGCTCCAAAACTAGTTGCCCTTTGGTCGCCCTCAAAAGATAATGCCAAATGGACCATAGACTAACATCAAGTGTCACCGGACCTCTTATGGTTGCTCAAAAGCACAGCCCAAAATTATCCCTTCATGCAAAGCCATACGTATCCAAAGAACACAAGGGATGGCTCAGTTGTCCTCCCGCATAAGTCTTGGGTTGAGATCATCCCCAACAAGCCCGTTCCCCTCTGCTGAAACTCTGGCTTCTTCGGGAAATTCAAATTCAACTCTTGGAAACCCTGTCTATCATATACGGGTATTACAAGTCTTGGTGATTTGTTGTTCCCCTGCAACAAAGGCAGACTCTGATCGGGATGTCATAACCATTACACACCTCCAAAAGTCTAAAAACCCAAAAGTTTGAGAGCATCCCCATAGGCGGCCATTTAATGGATGGGTTTCGCAGGTAGATGAAATGATGCCATCTATTCCAACCAACCTAACCCGAAAAGGACACCTATGAGTATGGCCGGTTCGCCAAGCACTGAGAAGAGGTTTAGCCGTTTAGCCTGGACCCCGATGAGCCGAGTTTGCCAGCGCCTGCTCCTTCTGCGGGCCCAGGGCTGGGTTTCCGCAGGGCGATGCCACATGCGCCGCCTGATCTCTGCGCTTGCGCGCAGGCGCCTTGGCGCTTTCTTTGCGCTTGTCCGTTTAGGAAAAGTAAGAGTTACCCAGATGCCCTGGTAGCCAAAGGGAACCATTTCTTTTTGGGGGTTGTAGAAAAGGTAGGAAAGAAAAAGAGTTGTAATCATGTCTTTTTTGGGGTTGAGCATTCGTGGAACCCACCAAACGGTGGAATCCGCTGCACCTCAAAACGAACCAAACTGCGGCCAGACAACGTGTCCTCTTTTCCTGCGGTCAAAAGCATGTTCCGGTGGGACAAACATAGCACTGGTCATATACTTGGAAACTGAAACCCACGGAATCCATACTCAACCGAATCGCCCGAAAGGAACTGAAGGCTTCGACACCTGTGCTGTCAAGACTTTTATGGTAGAACAGCCGTGTTGCGACCGTCTTGCGTCTCGAAACATACAAAAAAATCTGGGTTGGACGATCAAAGACCCCCCGCAACAATTGAAACTCTCTTCTTGCCAGGTAAAAAAAGAAAGCGCTTGTGATAGAATATGGGAACCCTCCGAAATTTGTTTCATGTTGGTTTTCTAGTAAACTACCCCAAATGGCCTTCCCGAAAAGCACAAGTCCAGGCATGTTGGGAGTGATGTTGAGTTCAGTCGGGATGGAAATATCCAAACAACCAACATGCTCGTCATACCCAATGCAAATAACATTAGACACATTAGGCAAACTAGTTATTTGTTTGTTGCGATTAAGATTAGTCGCCTTTGCAGCCCTCACAAAGGAACTTCATTCCGGCACATGGAAGGCATCTATGTTGCGGCAGAATGCAGTCGGCCGAGTCTGTTCGCAGCGCGGATCCTCTGGTTTGGTGCCCTTTGATTGGATGGGTTGTAAGCCAGGGTTGGGCAAAATGTGTGTAAACAACCAACCCTTGGTCCCCTGGAACCCGCCTCTAGTCTCAGCAAGTTGTTTCAAATCAATTTTCTAAACCGTTCAGAATCGCAATCAGCTCCAAGCGATCCAAAGGGCTGCTAGGCTGCTAGACGGGTTTTGAACCATCCTCGGCGAAAGGGACACCTATCCCATTTTGAGGGAAATCAAGTTCCGCAAGAAGAAACGAGACCGAGTTTCTCAGGCAGAACTCTTTCTAGGAAACCGATATTGTAAGAGAAGTGTCACACTGTGCTTGAGCTGTCACACTCAAATCGCTCAGAACTCAATGAAGCACATTGACATGTACTTTGAGGGCGGAAAACAAACAACCTGGCGTGACGTGGGCCAATGGGAGAAGGCTATCCTGGATAAGACCGGGATAGGCAAGGATTAGCCCCGAATACAGTCGTATTGAGGGTATTAGGTGATAGCACCCGCTTTATATTCCTTTCTCGGAAGCGGAGGGGAGGGGGGGGAAGGCGATAAAAACCTTGGGTGAAAGTAAATGGCACATCTCTCCCCCCTGTTGGTTTCGCCCTTAATTGAGAGGCAATTGTGCCAATTACTTTCACCCAAGGTTAAGTCATCATGCTGGTCCTCCTGCAACCAATCCTTTTGGGAACAATTGCTGGGAACTTCAAGTAAGGAACCTTCAATATGGGGCCCGAACTCGGGGGGAAAAAAACCGGACATGTCATCCCAAAGCAAATACTATAGGGCCAAAACTATCAGAATCTGGTGTAGATTCGGTAATATAAGCCCAAATTAAGGATTCATCATACGAGAATTACGTGTGTCATCATTTTAACCCTCACAGCACCTCCAGCCGACCTTTCACATTGTCATGGTTCCTTATCAGGAGTTGGCAACCAAAGCTGGCAACGCGTGGATCGGATTGACCAACCCAAGAAACAACGCTAGCTTCTGACTGGATCGTCCATATTGCAAGGTTTGGAGGGCAAGTATCTGAAAGTTGATCAAATGGTCCGATGAACATGGGATCGGGGAAAAGAACTAAACAAATGATAACTATGTCACACATGGCATTTAGGGGCCTTTCACGGAATATTGATCAACTCCCATCTGGGCAAACTGTTATAATTCACCACGATAGGAACCTTCACGACGGACGACGCAAACACCAAGCATTCCCGTTCACAGGCTGGCTGCCTTAAAGTTACCTACCGCGAGATGTCCTTTTTTCTCTTGTGGTTTCCCGACAAAACGCTTCCCCTCAGGGCTAAATAGGGGTCCTTTTCGGGCTTGTACTGAAATACCTAGCTGTCCTTCAGTGGATGCGAGGTGTCTGATGGTTGCAAACGCTTGGGGTCATCCCCTGCATGCAGAAATCGAAAGGCAAGTCATAGCAACCGTGGCAATCACAGCCGGATGCAATAGGTTCCTCAATGGGAGGAGCGCTCGGAATCCCTGGTTCAAGATAACAATGTCAGAAAGTAACCCACGAACACCGAATGGCGCTCCGATTGAACGCAAGTAAATTGCGCTCTCAACAGCGCGCAATACTCCGCGACTGCCGACCGGACCGCCGCTGAACTGTGGCGCGTCACTGGGGCAGTCTTCGTTGGATCTGGAGCGTTGTTTTGGATGTGAGGCAGCGCGAGATGAAAGAGATTGCGTCTGCCGCTGGCATCCTCGATAGTCCAGATTTGAAGGGTGCTCATGATGATTTCGACTGTGAACTGGGGAACCCCAGTGTTTCCCTGCCAAAAAAAATGTGTTTGGCCTAGAATGAAACACAACCACAGAGCCATAGGGAACTTATCCTTCCAAATATTTTTTTGCCCCCAGGAAAGAATGGGAACGTATGTCCGGTAGTGAAATCGATTCCCTTTCAGGCCAACATGGGACAACAAACAAAAATCCCCCCCCCCCCCAAACTTCCATCAGTGACTCCTCCCCCCAAAACCCTCCCCCCCCCCCCCAAACCTCCGCCTGCCCCCCTGGTGACCTCGGAGCCCAAAAAAACAAACCACGGCCTCGCGGGAGCGCTCCGCCACGCCGCCGGCGCAGCTCTGGGAGCAAGAGGACCACTCCGTCCAGTCGCCCCACCTGGACGCGACGAAGCCCACCAGAAGGAAGGCGTCACACGCTTCGACGTCCAGAACCAGAAATCGGAAGATAGTGGGCTCCTACATTCCAACGGGTTTCCGGCGGAAGGAAGGTGTCACGAGATTCGATTTCCCCAGAAATCGGATTTTTGGGCTCCTACCAGGTTCATTCCAAAGGGTTTCAAGGGTTTCAAGGGTTTTCAAGGAAAACCCAAGGGCTGAAAAGCCGAAGTGGGCTCCTACATCCTGGCGTTCTGCCACGTTCCGCTTGGCTCCCAGCTCGGTCCACAGCTGCAAGTCGTACACGAACTGCAGGAGGGCAAAGTTGGAGCCGTAGCCAAGCAATGGGCCCAACAGCTTTGCGCGGAAGCTGCGCTTTATGCTGCGCCGCTGACCGTCTGCGCCTTCCACATCCTCAAGCTCCGCCTCCTCGTGCTCCCGTTCAAGACGGCGCTGGTCCGTGTAGCGCTCGTGTGTCTCGCACATTGATGTCTTCCAATAGAGGGTCGGCCACACAGCACACTCCAGCCCCAGCATGAAGGGGTCTCAAAATGTCCTAAGTTCCAAGGGTCGTCATCATGAATGGGTGATTGATAAGACGAAAGGGAAACCAAAGGAGGACCTCTTGAATGGGTTGGTCTTGAATCAATACCCAACATGAAACTCCAAAGTTCCAAAACCCATTTTAGGTGCCTCAAAAGACAACCAAACAAAACAGGCTGATTGGCTCAAACACTCCGAATGCCGCAAGTGCCTGGTTGCCAACATTTGTTTGTTTCAAAGTAGGGGGACCCTCAAACCTGGATTTCGACGTTCCGTTCGTGATTGAACCATCCAAAACGGGCCAGGCCCATGTTTTCTTGCTCAGCAGGGATGAGAAATGGAATGACCCCAAGATAAACCATTCCAGAGGTGGTTTCCTTTAAGGGGACCAACTTGGGTTCATTCGCACATGAGGGAAGAACCCTTAGCAACCATCCCTTGAATTTTCCTTTAAGGGGACCAACTTGGGTTCATGCCCATATTCCCTACTTATCGCACAGGCTCTTATCAACCATCCCTTGTATTTTCCTTTAAGGGGACCAACTTGGGTTCATGCCCACATTCCCTACTTATCGCACATGAGGGAATGACCCTTATCAACCATCCCTTGTATTTTCCTTTAAGGGGACCAACTTGGGTTCATGCCCACATTCCCTACTTATCGCACATGCGCTTGTCAATCATCCCTTGTATGTTCCTTTCAGGGGACCAACTTGGGTTCATGCCCACATTCCCTACTTATCGCACATGAGGGAATGACCCTTAGCAACCATCCCTTGTATTGTCCTTTAAGGGGACCAACTTGGGTTTATTTCCACATTCCCTACTTATCGCACATGAGGGAATGTCCCTTATCAACCATCCCTTGTATTTTCCTTTAAGGGGACCAACTTGGGTGTATTCCCACATTCCCTACTTGTCGCACATGAGGGAATGACCCATATTTACCATCCCTTGTATTTTCCTTTAAGGGGACCAACTTGGGTTCATGCCCACACTCCCTACTTGTCGCACATGCGCTTATCAACCATCCCTTGTATTTTCCTTTAAGGGGACCAACTTGGGTTCATGCCCACATTCCCTACTTATCGCACATGCGCTTATCAACCATCCCTTGTATTTTCCTTTAAGGGGACCAACTTGGGTTCATGCCCACATTCCCTACTTATTGCACATGAGGGAATGACCCTTATCAACCATCCCTTGTATTTTCCTTGAAGGGGACCAACTTGGGTTCATGCCCACATTCCCTGCTTATCGAACATCAGGGAATGACCCTTATCAACCATCCCTTGTATTTTCCTTGAAGGGGACCAACTTGGGTTCATGCCCACATTCCCTGCTTATCGAACATCAGGGAATGACCCTTACCAACCATCCTTTGTATTTTCCTTTAAGGGGACCAACTTGGGTTCATGCCCATATTCCCTACGTATCGCACATGCGCTTATCAACCATCCCTTGTATGTTCCTTTAAGGGGACCAACTTGGGTTCATGCCCACATTCCCTACTTATCGCACATGCGCTTATCAACCATCCCTTGTATTGTCCTTTA